TGTGTCGGTTAAAGTTATCCTGCATAGCCCTATTAACTTTGCATGAATGCCGAACGCAGTCATGGCTTAAAACACCTTTGAGCGAATAGGACTGTCAAAATCATATTTTAGTCAACTATGGGTAGAATGTGTCGATATGTTTTTCGTGGGTCTTTTCCAGGATTTGGCGCAAAGTGAAAATCTGGTCTATAGTGGATTTGCTCCAATAATATCGTTGACCCTTTGCTTCAGTCGTATGCGATGGGAAGGAGGCTAATTCTTCTATAGTTGGCTAATTATTCTATATCGTCACGGGACACAGGATGCCGAGTTTCTCTAGCCAAAATGTACTAATCAGTTGGAACATGCTCCTGAACAGCATATGACCACCGGTTTCGAACAGTTTGGCTGGTTACCCATCGGCACTTGCTGCTTTATTATTCTTCAGTCGATTAATTGGTAAAATTTTTCGGACTTCATTCTGACTCCTGTAAATCTTGGTTCACGCTCACGTTTTTCTTGTTCTTTCCTCGTTTTTAGTAAGGAGATTTTGCGGAACGACATGGCTAAATTGTATTACAATGTTTTCCTGATTACTACTATAAATATACATACTTTACAGGGTCTAAAATTCAAATTTATTGTCCTCAAATACTTAACACCTCACCAATTTATATGTTTACACATCTATTGTAGATACAAATCTACAACGTATGACGAATAAAAAGTTCAGCCAAAAATAAAATATGTTATATAATAGAAATAATAATTTTAAAGAATTTAAAAAAATTTACTTATAACAACAACAGCAAAAAAACAACAGAACAATTTGCATCTGTCATTAATATGACTAAACCAGCTAGCCATTGAAAAGCTATTGCGTCTTTGTGCTTCATATTCTTTGGTCAATCTTGCAAAAAAAAAAAGAATTGAGAAATTCCTTCAAAACTGTATTGAAGTGCAAGTAGAATATTGAAAAAATATCTAAAGTGCTTTGGCAGACTGGGGATACTGGATTGAGAGTTAAATTGCAAACGAATATATCTACAGAACAAAAAAATACAGGAAAGCAATAATTGATTTTGGAAGAAGGCCAAAAAATATATAAAAATATGTTACTGGCGAAATTTTTAACCACTCCATTTGCTGTGTTGTTGTTAACAATTTATATTAAATTCCAATTATTCCATTTGTTATTCAAATTATACCGTGTGAAATTCTAGTTGTTCTATTTGAAGTTTAACTTATTATATTTGTAATTGAAATTCGATATCGAAATACTTTTTTTTATTACAACTGAAAAAATTTGAATTAAAAATATACTTATTTAAATTGTAAATGGAATATTTTGAATTTCAAGTGAAATATTTTTAAGACTGGAATTTAAACTAAAACCTCGATATACAAATGCATTTTTATGAATTTTAGAATTACTATTGTATAGTTTTGAATTACATCTGGAGAAGCCTAAGAGTTATAGTTTATTCGAGAATTACTTCCTGATCTTCTCTAATAAATATTTTATCCATAAAAGAAGACTCTCTGAATAATACACCTGAAAATAATGCTATCTGAAGGCGATTAGAATTTCCATAGCGACATCAATACGCGGTAGTCCATTGCTCCTCCTGGCAAACCAAGTTCACTTTAAATTCAAAATATATCGCAATCCTTGTCACTGTATAGAAACCCAGCGACTTCGTGCAGCCTGCTGAACATACATTCATGAATTATAGTAAAGCCAACTGCGATGGCTTCACAAAATTAACTCAGGACTCCTTAAGTCCTATGGCGCCACGGGTATACGCCAGAAAAGAAGAGTAATTTTTCCGCAAAATTATTCTAAAAGCAACAAAACGCTTCATTCCCTCGGACAGAATTCCCCTAATGATGCTTTAGTCCTTGAGCATATTCCCTAGAACACCTTAGCCACTGCAGTATAAATTCCAAGCAGCTATGGTCTACAATTAAGAGTCTATCTGGATCCAAAAGAAATAAAAATCTACCTGCATTCAACATTCCGCTGTCAAGAAATGTGCATTGCAATTCTGCCGCAAATTTTATAGTTTATATATAGTAGTTATCCGGAGATGCAGGAATCTTACAAGAGACTTGCCGCCCCTATCATTCACATTCAGCGAGGTAGAGGCAATTATTTCCAAGTTCAAGCCATGCAAAACCCTTCGTCCAGACGACATTTCCATGTTCATGGTAAATAAGCATGGTGCAATAGAACTGGGTTACTTAGCGCCACCATCACCAACATCTTCCGGGAGCGCAATCTAAAATTATCCACATCTACTGTGTAAAAGCATTCCCTCCATCCATATTCCGAAAATCCTTGGGGTGGGCTTCGAAATCCTCCTTGCTTTTCAACTACGTCAACCAGATGGTGAAAACTAGGAATAAACTTCTGAAAGCTTTGGGTGGCAACTCCTGGGGCAATGATAAAGAAATGTTGGTAACTACATACAATGCCATAGGTCGTTCCATCCTTAATTATGTTGTCCCAGCGACACACAATAGAGACAGTTTCAAACTACACAAAATACACTCTGAAGTGCAACCTCTATGAGAAGACCAGAATGCTGTAAGTCAATCAACACAATGAGTTGTTGACTAGACAGTTTCTGCAGGCATGATAGCCGCCGTGTCATCGCAACCATCACACAATGATGGCAGATCCACCTCCTCGACACAACCGTTAGGACTTCAGGCGCTATCGTCAAGATATCCAAGACGTCTCTCCATTGGAGGTCAACAGATCGTCGATAGAGAACGCGATGAAATTCGTTCATAAATGACTACTGATGCAACAAAGTCCTAACCCAACATCCTACTGCATTTTCGGACAATGAGAGGCCTCTGCCTAGGCAAACCCGTTCGTTTCTGACGCAACTAAGATCAATTCGTATCGAGAGAGCCTTTTCCCCGGAATCCCAAATAGGTGTCCCTCCTAACTAGGTGCCTCCTGCCAGCAAAGCCCTCGTCACACACCCCATTTATTCAATTTTCAAGTTTAACCGTATTCGAGCCTACAAGTTTAACCGTTTACACTGTTAATATTTGGATTTGGATTTGAAAATTTGCATATACTACTATTCCCTACTATTCACAAGAAGTCGGGTATTTTAAACAGGTTATATACACAGGACACATTTTACATACACAGGACACATTTTAGGAAAGGCATTATCTTAAGTATTTCAAAAGTCATATCTTCTTTCTCAAACAATTTGTTGTAAGTTTTCAATTCGGATTCTCGGTAAGGTTCAATAATAATATAGTGACGCCGCATACCCCAATATACATTCATATTTTGACATGGCCCCTCTCTCCATATTAAGTATTTTTAAGGTTATCGACGCATTTTTCCGCTGAAGCGGTTACATCTTAAGATTAAGTGGTCCCAGAATATAAAAAACCAATTGGCCGAAGATGTCAATTTAAATATCCAAATTTTTAGAAAAAAAATTAGGTATTTTGAATTTTTAAATTTCTGATATTCTAAGGGATGCACCCTTATTTGAACCCATATAAGTAGTAAATGAAATTAACTAAATGGACAAGGCCTAGAAAATTCGAAATACTTTCTATCTTAGTTCAGAAATGATGTTTGTCAATCTATGCCAAAAAAAAAATCAAAGAAGAAATCAGCATAAAACAAATGTTTTTCTTTTTTGCTTTGGTATTTTGTTTATTTCATTCCTTTCGTTTTTTTTCGATTTCATATTATCTCTAGTCGATATTTTTCGACTTTCTTCACTGTTTTTTTTGTAAAATGGCCAAGATTACGAAATGAAAGGAAAAACAGATGACAATCGTCACACGAGTTTTGATGCCATTAACGTTGGGGTCTGGCAAAAATCGGCTGACAATTTTTTTGTTTTGTTCGCACACACCGTTCTACATGTGTCTGAAAATATATATAAACATACATACATATATATGCATGTACTACTTGTACTTGTAGCAGACGACATTTGTACCTCAAATATAAATAAATTGTTTAAATATAATATATCCATATAGTATTTATATATGTATGTGTATTTCGAACACACGCCCATATATTATTGATATATATTATGTATATATATGTATGTATGAATATGCTATGAATGAAATAAATTATACGCCACACGTAAATTTTAACAAAGTCCTAATAAATGTTCCCTCAATATTTTGTGGTTTATTTACGAGATTTGGTTTGTCATCAGTTTATCGTCTTTCGGGTTTATTCTTTTTTTCTTTTGCATCTCGCTTGTTGGCCAATTTAAATTACATTGATGAAACAATTACCGGGTGATGAAACAATGTAAATGGCATTTTTTGGCAATTTTCCTAGCAGAGAATTTTGCGCGGGAATAAATCAAGATGTTGAGGCTGATTTTTTTTTACGAAAATGAGACATGCAGCACTTGTCAGTTTGGGAATTTGTCATTGCGAATTTTTGAGTAAAAACTTATTTGGATGTGGGTATTCGAATATTAGTAATGCAATTCGCTTAAAAAGGTAATACAAATTTTTCTAATTTCCATTATTCCAACTTTTTTCTAAAACATACAAATATAATATGTTTTATATTCCCATTTAAATAAAATTACAAATTGTTTGTTTTTAAATCCTTGAAAACCACATTTCAATTTGTTACCTAAAATATTGTTGATAAATTGTTTAAAAAAATTGCACAACTGTTTTGTTTTCGTCCTCGTTTTTGTCGAAATTTGTAATCACTCAAAAACAACAAAAACTTTTAACAAGCAAACATGTGAAATGCATGCAGTTTCTAGAATTAAGTTTCAAAAAAAAGCAACGCACACACACCTCTACTCTACCATTCAGATGAAATTTCATATTTTCATAGCATTCATACTTTAATTGGCCCTAATTGATGTGGAGGGTCTGTTCTGTTCTATTTTGTGTGGGGTTTTTCCTACTATTATTATTATTTTCTATTATTTCGGTTGTTATTCTTCTTCTATTTTTTTTTTCAAAGGTTGTGTGTTAATTTAATTTACCTGAAACAGCTTCCAAACATTTGATGAATGTTTCCATGTTACGTTCGCATGTGGCTTCATTCAAATAGAAATAGGTTCTGGCACTGTTGACCTTATAACGACGATCTGCAAATGATTTATCGACATGATACTGAGGCATGGCATCATCTTCTTTAACATCGCCGGCACTTGAAACTGAGGATCTACAAAGGATTAGAGAAAATATGTTATTTAAATATTTAACCAGTAAGGAACATAGTAAAGTCGGACTGGGCCGACTATATGACCGACTATCTGAACGAAAGAATATATATATGGGAGCTATGTCTATATCTAAACCGATTTTCACGAAACTTAGCACACATCATTCTGGACCTAATTCAGTACCCTATGCCAAATTTCGTGCAATTCGAAAGATATGTAGGGACTTTAGTGCACCATTTACATAAAATCGGACGAAATATATATGGGAGCTATATCTAAATCTGAACCGATTTTTCCCAATTTCAATAGGGTTCGTCCTTGGACCAAATAAGTGAACTGTGTCAAATTTCAGCCAAATCGGATCATAAATGCGACCTGTACTTTGTTTATAATTTAGCATCTACGACGGACGGACGGACATGCATAAATCGACTCTGAAAGTGATTCTATAAATATTCTCAAAAGGAACCATGTTTCTATCTAGTTTCCTTTTGCTTGTTACAAACATATGCACAAAGACATAATACCCTGTACCACAGTGTGGTGAACGGTATAAAAAAATAAAATTATATTAGGTCGTAGACCAATGCAAAAAATCGTTTCAATGAACGAATATTAACTGGCCAATGTCACCAATCCTAATGTTGTACTATTCGGGCCGAACTATTTGAAAAATATTTTGAATCGGTAGAGACTGTTATAAAAATGATATGTTGTATTGTCTATGTCGATCTACATAGACAATTTCTGCGAATTAGTTGTTTACCCTCCAAGAATCGAAATATTTTGATAATAACATTCATAGTTCATTTGTTTCTATATTATAAATGTACATCGCCTTAAATACAAGTACAAATTCTTATAATCAAAATTCTATTTCTTTCTAAAAAATTTAAACTTTTCATTAATATCAAAATTATTTTCCTACATTGATCTAATTTACCAATTTTTGCGCTCATATTTTCCTTTCTCTCTCTCTTTTGGCAAAAAACAAATGTATTCCTCCCAAGATAACCTACCACCACTCACACTCATTCGGCAGTGTTTTGTTTTGGTATCGTCATCCCCCTCTCCTCTTACTTGGTTGTTGTTAGTTTTATAACCATTTTACTACTGTTTCTTTTGTTAAGAACTACCCCTCACTCGATTGTGTGGTTAGTTTTGCATTCCATAGTTTCTTTATTTTAGACACTGTTACTGACATCTAGTGTTAAAAAATTCGCATATGTATTTTCCAAATTATTTCGATATAAATGGCAAATACAATATATCCAACAATTGTTGATAAAAAAGAAACGAGACGAGATTTAACGAAGAATTAAACGACGAAGTGTTTCTGTGCCGTAAAATCTAGCCACTTTCATTGATAAGAAAATTTTAGGAATTGCTAAAAAATAAAGGGAACTGATGAGGATCAGTGGCGAGATCCGAAACTATGGTCTTCCCTGCCTTACCCCTCGGCGGACAATGTCATACATTAACTAATAAATAGTTGTTTTTTTATAAAAACAACAAACTGGGATTCAGCTTGACTATACAAATGGTATTCCCAAATAACCCGCCAACACTACTGAGTTAGAAAACATCAGGAAAGTCATTGATTTTTTGTAAATTGTACGGAATTTAGTAAATCCAGTCAATTGTATTACATATATGCCAAATAAATACTCATAGAGGAGGTTAACACGGCAAAATGTTCTAATGTAAATGCCGTTTAAGCTCTAGTTCTAAAATAAAATATATAGTTGAATTATAGGTAAACTCTCATTGCCAAATAATGGGAAGTCATAATTTATCAAGAAATATATTGCTAATAGTGACAAAGAGAAATATTGATGATTTTTGAAGAACCTAAATCTTTAGAAAATAGACCTCAAAATCGTCTAATCTATGCTTCTAGTCGGAGTTTGAGAACGTCATATCCAAAGTGTAACATTTACAAAATAAAACCACAAATGTATTTAAAATTAAATTAATGGTTTTGAGTAAAATTGAATGCCACGCTAAACCAAAAATTAACGATAATAGACATCAGGCTCCTAAATCTGTACTCTAGAAAACAGTATATTCTAATATATTACCTCACAAAACGTTCGAATATTGTAAATATTATATTTTTAGTAACTATAAGAAATATAATCCAATACATTCCTTATCGATACTCACTCGACTTCACGTTTCTCGGCCTCTTCCTGGGACAAATCCTCTTCAACGGAATAATCCAGAATTGGTTTAACGCCAAACGAACGCAGCCTGTAAATTCCATCCACAAAAGGAATAAAAGAGAGAAAAATTAGAATGTTAATAGATTTCAAAAAATTACAACTTTACGACACAAATTATTTATTTATCAACATGCTTAGCCATAAACAATAAACAGAAATGTGTGTGGGTGTAATTTGAAGGTATGTGGTTATGAAAAATAATATTAGCTGATCAGTGAGGAGGGTGGATCATATCGATGAATTCTAATGGAGAAATTTGATAATACGGATTAAGGTTGTTGATGTTTTAAAGATAGCTGTTTTTGTTGAATGAATCGGGGGTAGTTGACATTTAGTGTAATTATAGATAGTAGATATTTTCACGTACAAATTAAGATGAAGCGATTTAGGTGAAGTGTAATAATTAAGTAGATCGTAGATCGATATTTCTTTAGATAATCCTCAAATAACGCAGAATTGACTATGCATTTCGGGACTTAGACGCTACAGGAAATTCGAAAAATTTAATAATTTGAACAAAAAAACTTTAAACATAAATTTCTATCACTGCTAAGATATTTTTTTTTTTTTTTTTTTTTTTTGAAAATGTTATATAGCCTACAATATTATAATTTTCTTTGAAGGTGAAAACTTGTTCGTAGAAAATTTTAATTATAGGCCCATATTTTGACGTAAACCCCATATGAAAGTCACGTACCCATTTTTAATAGTTCGAATATCAAATGGGCCAAACATCATGACGGCAGGTCTTGAAAATTGCAATATAGGTTTATTTTTTTACATGGCACCAATATAAACATATTTTATGAAGGTATTTTAAGGTCATAGTTTCTAACCGAAGTAGATATGACACCGGATTTATAGCCAATGTTTTGACATAGACCTCATCATTATACCCCATATGATTTTATGCCGCATTTTCGGTCCAAGTGGTATTTCAAATCGGATAGGCCATTCATATGATATTATATATTTTCAGCAACATTTTTGACCATTGTGGGGGAGGTACAAGAAGGAGTGAGCCGATGCGTGTCATCATATTACGATGAGCAGAGTTTGGATGACATTTGGATATTCCTTTCGCTTTATAAAAGATTTACAAAGTTTCAAATTTTTTGTCCGTTTGTGGGACAGGTAGAAGAAGGAGTCGATCGATAAGTATAATCTCCTATCTTCGAAAGGTGATCTAGGTTTGGTAAAGATAATATACTGTAATATATACAAATTTTTTACCATTAGGACGTACCAGAAGGAGTGACCGACCCAATATTCCCAATCTTTTTACTTAAACTAAGTCGGAGGAAATTTTACGATGCGCAAAGTTTGGATGAAATCGGATACTCCCTTCGAGAGTTATTGAACGCATCAACCAGCAAGCCACACAGACGGACATTGTCCAAAAAACCTGCGTTCTAAAATCAATATTTCGATTAGGCACATTTTTGCCGTATCAAAGTGTATATACCTCATTAGCCATAAGGCGGAGAGTATAATAAACAAATACAATAAAATCCAGATAATTGATTACAGACCCCTATTCGGATTGCTAAATTTTCCGGATTATTAATTTAGTTATAATTTAAGTAATTTTATTTAAATATAAAATAATTCATTCCAAAAATATGAAACAATTATTCACATTTGCGAGGTCCTGATTATCGAGATTTGACTCTATACAATAAACTGAGAACGGAACATTCTTTTTGATCCAAACTTCGCGCAACGTAATAACCAAAATGAAGTCTATCGGATCACTCCTTTTGGTTTCTCCACCATAAAAATGTTTGAAACATATTTATCTCTTATAAAGCGGATTGAGTATCCGATTTGCAAAACATGTTATTTTTACTAAATTTATATTAAGTCGAATGAAGAAATCTATCGATCCACTAGTACAAAATTGATATCTATTGTCCCGATATGAATGATACGCAACCAAAAAACCAAATCAATCAGGTTGAAGCTAATATGAAAAGCCTTAGTGATTCTCCATACGCTATTTTGTCTTCTGAACGATCTCAGGAAACCTCCACCAAAATGATGGAGACGGGACTGACTATATGATACCCTTCACCACTTTGGGCACATACAAGAGATGTGTACAATAATATCATGTAGGTAGATCTCATAAAACATAAATGATACGTTTTAGTTGCACTAAAATTCAGTGTAATCATAATGTTTAAAAAATTGCATGTAAAGGAAAGTTCTTTGGTGTACCATTTGTATGAAATCGAGCAATGGGAGCTATATGTAAATCTGGACCTATTTAAGCAACCGTCGATTATACTATTTGGTATACTGCAGCACAGTGCGCTACCCAAAATTTTAACTCGAACAATACATGAACTCAGATGAAAATATATATAGGGGTTATATCTACGTCTGAATATATTTTAAAATATCCACTACTCCTTATTATAGGTTCAATTTGATACGTTTTGGACGAATTCGTTCCGAATGGACAAACTTTAGTTATTTAGATGAAATCAGATGAAATTTTATGTAGAAGGTATTAGGGAATAAAAAATTTGTACCATTTATATGTAGTCGAGCCAATTTTTCTTTTTTCCTGATTCTCTTACTATTAATATGAGAAATTATTCGAAATCCAGGTAAAATTAAAATATATACTTCTTGATGTCCAAAGAATCAGAAGTAGTAAAGCAGTAATCACAACTGATCAAAGGAATAAACTACAAACATCAACACGATAGGATATGAAACTAGTGAGCGAAGCAGTACAGTCGGACGGGTCGACCATATGATCCCCTACACAACTTCCATCGAAATCTATGTTTCTACGGATCCATATTCCGAGCCTGAATAATATTTGGCGATATTTACACTCTCTTGACCGATCAGCGGTGCTATGCGGCATTTTAACCGAATATCATATGACCTGGAACAACATATCTACTATGGAAAATTGTCTATTCAAAAAGTGATTCTATGCATATTCTAAAAAATAACAATAACGTTTCCTATTGCACAGTTTGGTGAAGGGTATCAAAATTCGAAACATAAATTTTTGGCATATAATTGTTTGGCAACATGCACTAATGACCACCTAGATAAGTAGAAATTATAATAAATATTGTTATGTGTGTATGTGTTCTTATTCACCTATAACCTTCCTTAAAACTATTAATTCCCGAAAATTCAAAATTTCCACCATAATTCGCTACATCTTATTTTTGTAACATAAGTACTCTTATTCGTATGTATGAGTGTAAGCATGAACATGTGGAAGTGTGTGTGTGTGTGAATTTTTTCGAAATCTTTATTAAACAATTGGATAACAATTGAAACGCCAGGGTGCCACATACACTTAAGAGCTGCTGAATGGGCATGGGGTGAACATAGCAGGGTGATGCTACTACAATTCATTGCCACATAAAAAATATGATTTCTCATGATGATGATGATGGTGATGCTGTTGATGATGGGTACACCAGCGATGTTATAACATCTGTCACCGTGACATAATAATAAATAATAAACCAAAGAAACGACAACATATACAAATAAATATACACATATTAGATGAACAGATTGACAGAGAGAGAGTGAGAGCGTCCGACACAATTCGGAAATTATGCACGTCCTTGACAACGAAAGCCAGACAAAAGACTGATTAATTGACGCACACAGAGGAGGAAGAAAGTAGAAAAGGTTTCGTTGATGAATCGTTTAAATTTTTGATTAAAATCAATTTGAATTTGTGGTCTCTAAAAAATAAATAAATTTAGAATATTGTGAAAAAAATAGGAGAGAAAAACAATCGAGAACAAAAATTCGTGTCAAATTTTGTTTTGCCAATTTTTTCACGTGTGTAGGAAAGTTTTTTTCTGATTGGATTTATTGTTTGAAATTTGTATTTTTTTTTTAATTGGATTTGAAAGAGTGAACATAAAAAAGGAACTGCAATTTGGAAGAATGACTAAATGAGCAAATAGATTTAAATATTATTACTTGGCCAGAATTATCCTCACCAAGTAAAAGAATTACAGTAGAACTTTCTATAACGATCAAGTGGAAAGTTATAAAAAAGATCGACTTCCGATTTTCTTTTAAACCCATTTTTAAATCCATTATACTCTTCCAAATTGCCACCTTAAATTTAATTTTGAAAGATTATAAACCATGCAATGGATAATGACGAAGAAAACACAAATAAATATGTATAACATGAGAAATGGGAAATAAAATATGGCAATGTAAACAAAAATTTAAAAAGAGAAAATAAAAGTGGGAAAAAACCTCTCAAGTGTTGGCACAATTTTATGACGATCCTCGCCGGCAACAAAATGACCATAGAATGAGGATTTCATTAGAAGATCGAAGAGAGTGCCACCCAGGACAGTTTTGGCAAGTTTCATCAACTGGCAATTAAAACGTTGGTGCCACCAAAAAAAGGAGTGAATATGTTGAGAATGTTGATATTTTTACGCGTGTGTGTGTGTGTCGAAGCATAAGCGGGTATTGGAGAGGCAAATTAAAATTCAAATTTGATAAAAGCAAAAGTATTGATTGGTAAATCAGTCCCATATTTATTTCAAAAGGGAGCATACACAGCAAATTCAAATAAAATGAAAATAAAAAAGGAAAAAAGAAGAAGAAAAAACAAAAGCGTTAATAAATTTATATAATAGACAATTACCTTTCTAGTGTTGGTATGATTTTGATTTGATCTTCGCCAGCAACAAAGTGTCCATAGAATGTTGCCTTCATCAGAGCTGTAAACAATTTTTCTCCCAGTATTGTATTTGCCACTTTCATAAGCTATACAATTTTCAATTTCAAAATTCATTTCAATTCGATTGTTTTTTTTTGTGTTAGCATTTTCGTTTTGTTTACAAGTGTAGCAGGATGAGAAGGAAAAGAAGAAGAAAAGAGAAGTTTTTTGGGGGGAAGTATTCGGAAAAAATATTACAATTTTGAAATAGTTTTTTTGTTTCTGGAAGTTAAAATTCAAATTATCAACAATGGCTGAATTCAAGCGTTCGTTAAACAAAAATTGAAAAATTAAATGATTTTATTCATTTTAAACATAACGAAAATGAAAAGAAAATACCAATATAATAATAATACAATATTTTTAGAATAATGCTTACAAAGTGACACTTAAAAATGTTCGGAATAAAGAAATCAATAAATATATAATTAAGTGAGTGTGTTGTCTACATTATATAAACCCTTTATATGCAGCTTTTATAGATGGTTTCAACGAGGAAGAGGAGGAACTAGAAATTGCTTTTCAAGGAGACATTATAGATTCTATTGATTAATTATATCGTTAAACCGAAAAAGGATCTAAATGAAAAAAAGCATCGATGAACAAAAAACTTGGTATGAAGAAGTGATTTAATGAATTTAATCGTGACCGACGTCCGCCCAAATGATATGTAGGATGGTCTACGAAAAATCTTATTGTAATTGAAAGTCCTAAAACCCCAGAAAGAAAAATTCTCCATAGGTCAAAGTTCGGAGATATGGCGTGATCATTTTTTTTCTGGTGACCCTGTTATACTTGAAGATATAGCTTCCTATCTTCATTTGTATCAATTGTATGAATTTTTTAAGAATTACTTTCAGTAAAATCAAATGAGGATTTTTTTTTTGAAAATTTTGTCTTCGAACTCGATTCCTTGTGGGCCCTTTTCGTCCTTAATTTATTAAACCGGACTCTAATTATCACAAGATGCGATTTTTCATTCTCGCAATATTCTACAAAAATTATGCTCATAAGATTTTAGGTGGGATCCTCAAAGATGAGAAATCGATATTTTAACGTTTTAATGGTCTATTCTCAATTTTACCCGTATTTCAATAAATTCAGTTGAACTGTCGGATTCGTCCGAATTATTTTCTCAAAAAATATATAGTTATGCCAAATAAGTAAAAAAAATAAATTTCAAGGAAAATGAAACCGGGTTTCTAAATTTTTCGAACCGGATATTCAGATAATAAAACCGATCTCAATACTTATCATTTAAAAGCTAGTAAACAAACGTGCTAAATTTATAGACCAGACAATGGTTTTTATTATCTAAATATCCAGTTCAAAAGTTAGAAAAACCCGGCTTCCTCTTACAAAATCTTCTTTTTTTTGTATTTAGTTTAAATTCTTTATTATGATGAATTGTCGGATTCGTAGGAGTTTTTTACGCAAAAAAAACAAATTTCGAAAAAAGAACCGGTTTTCTAAATTTTTGAACCGGATACTAAAATTCTATATGTATTTCAATAAATTCAGTATAAATATAAATCTATATATTATACATTATATTCTATAAATACGTAAAAAATACCTAAAGAAAGAAAAGAAGAAAGGGCCGAGTTTTCTAAAATTTTGAATCGGATATTCAGATAATAAAACCGATAATAGTCTGGTTCAATAAATGTAGCGCGTTTGTTTATTATCCTTCCAATGATATGTATATAGAGTTTTAAACTGGTTTTATTACCCTAAATATCCGGTTCCAAAATTTAGAAAACCGGTTCTATCTTCCTAGAAAATAGTTTTTGCCTATATGGCATACATTCTTTATTATGAAGAGCTCTCGGATTCGTACGATTTTTTACGACAAAAAAAACTAACTTCATGAAAAAAGAACCACTTTTCTAAGACCCTATATGTATGCATTTTAATAAATTTAATATGAATTCTGTCGAAATCGACCGAATTATTTATTAAAACATATGTAGTTGTGCCAAATACGCCGAAAAAAACTAATTTCGATGAAGAAAGAACCGATTTTTTTCATTTATGAACCAACATAATAGTATGGTTCAATAAATTTAGGTCGTTTATTTATTAGTTTTCTAATGATATGGGTACAGAGTTTTAAACCGGTTTTATTATCCGAATATCCGGGTCAAAATTTAAAAAAACCGGTTCTTTTTTCCCCGAATTTTTTGCTTTTTGGGCATAACTTCATATGTCTTAGTAAAAAATAATAAAGAATTCATACTGTGTTTATTGTAATACATACATATAGGGTTTTAGTAACATGACATGGGTAAATTGAGAATAGATCATTAAAATGTTAAAAAATCGATTTCCTGTCTGTGAGGAACCTATCTAAAATCTTATGAGCATAATATTTGTGGAATATTGCGGAAAGGAAAAAATGAATATTATCCTAATTGGGGACCGGTTCAATATATCTTGGGCGAAAAGGACTCACAAGAAATCGAGTTCGAAGCACGAAATGTTCTACAAAAAAATTCCTCGTTCGATTTTACTGAGAAAATGTAATATCTAGAAATCGGTCAAGATACAAAAGCTATATCTTCATGTATAATTGGGACGCCAACAAAAAATCAGAACGCCATATCTCCGAACTATGACCTATGGTGAATTTTTCCTTCTAGAGGCTTCATATACTCATCAAGGCCTTCATCCCCAATGGGTGGAGTGAGTTAATAAATATAAATTAGTTCTATTTCAATCTACATAGTTTGTTTTCCACAATTGGTAAAGCTATGTCTAAAAGGGATAAAAGAGTAAAATATGGATTCCGTTCATTCCAATTTCGATTACTTCAGTCCGAAGTTTCAATAAGTGGTGTCGTAATATATTCCACATGCCTATCCCTCGCCATTGACTGCACTCCTTAATTTATGAGAAGATAAGTTAAGATTTCTATAGAATATTGATAACCTTATTGATGTCACTATCATAACAAATTACAATGGCAATATTCTGCCATAAAGCCACTCAACCTGAATATTTTTGTCGGTAGTCTTAGACAATCACATTTCTTATAAATGGTATGCTGATGCCAAAATTTGTCGACTATTTCCAATGCAGAGTGCGAAAAAAACTTGGAGCCAAAGAAAATAACTTCATTTTGTTTTTGATTCCACAAACGATTAGATGTGCAATTGCATATTTATTGATTTAGTTTAGACGTCACAGTGTCTGACACCACCACCTACATTTTTAGAAAAGCCACTGCATTTAAAAAAGGGGGCGTGTGACAAAATGACAGAGGTGTGTTTTTGTCTTCACACATAACGTGTCCTTATGTAAAAAGAAATTGGTAATAGGGGTCTGTCCCCTTTTTCTGCAATTGCAAGACAATTTTTTTTTGGCATATAAATGAAACATCTTTCAGAAATTATAGGAAAAAAGAATTTGTAAGAGAAAAAATAGTTTTTCCTCTAGACATTTGACTCAGCGACAGCTGACACAGGCTAAGTAGAAGGAATAAAAAAAACGAAAGTAAAAAATGTGGTGAAATAAATGTGCCGGCTGCAATTGCTTAATGTCACGAGCGACATACTAAAAATAATACAACCCCCCATTTACACCTCACCCAAGTCCTCCACCCCTAACAAACCGTATAGTCACACTGTTCACCTGATCAAAAGTCATTAAAATTGAAGCAGCCAGCAACAGCAACAACAACAATTCTGGTCATTTGCAAATTTGCCAAACAAACAGAACAAATGTTTCTCAAACACACATTCGTACATACGAATTTGTGTTCTCGTACAAAAAAAGAGACATTACATGCCAGTAATGACGATAATGAAAATAACAAACAAAATTAAATAAATTCGAATTTGTTTGAATTTTAAAAATAGTAGTCCATATACATATATACAAAATCAGAGGTGTGCAAATATATATGTATACATATAGATACATATATAAATATATCATGTCTGATGAGTATTTCTGTAGTCAGCAATTATAGAACACATACAATGTATTTTTGTTTCCAAAAATTATTCAATAATTTTTTTTTAGATTTTTCAAAGGGGGAATAAAGTTATATAGTCGTCTACCGGAGTCCTCTCAGCATACGGAGGATATTCCCATATAACTTGAATTATTATTAGAAGGAAGTTTTCAAAATATCCAAAACCACAACGTGTGTTATATGGGGTTTTGATATGACTGTTACCAATCGAATTATTTTGAACTTCCCATTGAAACATTACGAAATTCAGTTGGAATATTTTTAATTGCAAATAGAGTACGTTCAACATTTCTTGCTTCTAACTCGATTCCTTTTGGGCCTTTTCGCTCATAATATTTTGAACCGGACTCCAATTATCACAAGATGCGATTTTTCATTCTCGCAATATTCAACAAAAATCTATCGTCGACTAGAAGCAATGTATTCTCGATTTTTGTGCAGTGGTTGGGGTTTGCTTATTTAGTGTTGCAATTTTACTCTGGGTGGCGCTATTTCCTGCCACTCATATTTTTATGCCGAGGTACACTATCCACTGCACTACCCCATCCCACATTCGTGGTGGATTTCCTACTAGAGAATCGAAAGTAGGTCGAAGGCATCTCGTAACTCTAAATGGAATGACAGTCTATGTAAAGGCGAGAAAGAAATTATGTTCTTCTACGATTTACTGCAGCCAAAATCAACTTTCCGTTCGCTCTCTTTTATACTTGACCTTCCAGAATTAATAGGAATAAGAATACGCAAATCCCATAATTTCCAAGCCTTTAGCACAGTTAGGACCATTTGAACATTATTTCTGCAATTACTGTCACTGTCAGTTACTATTTAAACTTCGAATCTTCTTTCGTGGCGGAAAATGGCCGAACAGTAGGAAATTCCGATATAGCTTGGCAGAACACAATTTTTCATTGGAAAATTGCTTTTTAGCCTGGCTGAATAGTATTTTCCATAGGAAAAATTGCTATTTAGCCCGTCTGAATAGTATTTTCCATAGGAAAAATTGCTATTTAGCCTGGCTGAATAGTATTTTCTATAGGAAAATTGCTATTTAGCCTGGTTGATTACTAT